TTGGGAATTTGATCACCTCTGCATTTATTTTTTGCGCTATAAACAAAAAAGTACTGACAATTTTTTACTTTTTGCTGTAAACCATGTCCAATAAAAAAATGTAAAAAATAAAATTTCTTCATAAATTTAGGCCAAAATGTATTCTGCTACATGCTTTTGCGAAAAACAAAATCCCAATACATGTAAATGAATTGGTTTATTTAAAAGTTCTAACATCTACAAATGTCAGTGTATATATACTGGAATTAAAAAATTTTTTCTTTATACTAGTAATGGCGGTGATCAGCAACTTATAGCAGGACTGCGGCAGGCATTCTGACACTGGGCTGGAACTAACTGCTACTGACATCCCTAATAAAAAGCACTGACACTGTATTAATGACACCGGGCAGGAAGGGGTTAACATCTGGGGCGATGAAAGGGTTAATTGTGTACTGTGTGTGTTTTACTGTGTGTACAGCAGAGATATGCAAAATGGCATTTCTCCCTAGTAAAACACAGCAGAGAGATACAAAACCGCATGTTGTTTACACAGGTCTCTCCCCTGTTAGCTTTTTCCTGGCAATTGGCGAGTACTGCTTGGACTTTGAAGAAGGGGACATACCCAGAAAGCTTGTCCTCAAAATTGTATGTTAGTACAAATAAAAAAAGTATAACGGACAGTACTGAATTGTTTCTGCGCAAATGCACGAATACGGCTACAATCACCTTCTTATGCTAAATTTTCAACTTGTAAAACTGATAGAAAGTGACTGAAGCCCCACTCTAAAGTTTAGTTGAGGTGTGTGAAGTTCACCATTGCGGTCATGTACACGGCTCTGTGCATACTACAAATTCCATATTCTCTAATTGATCTCGGGGATTAACACAACTGAGTGGCTGCGTTCCTACATACAGTGGGACATTGGTGTTTTTACCTGTAGAGTGTGAAAACCGGATGTGTTTGGGCGCACAAAAGTCACAAGTGCAGCAGCTCAAATTCTTTGAAAGGCTGCATTACATGTAGCTATTTATTATTTGGCACAGTATTGTCATATCATAGAGGGTTGCATGTAAGCAGATTGAAATGCTGGGTTAATGAGACAGCTGGCTGCCCTAGTTGGGAGGGAAGAGTTATTGCAGTTCCAGCTTTTTGCTGAGCTCTACCTCTCTTCCTGTGTTGTAAATAAAAAGGGGGTAGGCTCTGCCTGGACTCAACAGTCTGCTGCTTGGGATGAGAACAGAGATAAGCCAGCAAGATGTAATCTCCAGCTGCTTTCAGAGAGCTGGTCTGCAATAGGGACATGGGTCTGGATCAGAGTGAGCTAAAGCTCATAGTTTGGGCCCACCCTGTCATGCCAGAGACCCACATCTGAAGTCTTGTACATGTAGGTTGACTGCTGGGACCTGCAGTATGCCCTGGAGACACCAATATCCTGGATACTGCCATAATGGACTCTGCTACCAATGGATTCTCAACTTGTGCAGGTATACTGGTGCAGCCGCAGTTAAAGTTAGGTTTAGTTAGGAAAAGACTATGCTTTTTCTGATGAATCTCAGCATAATAATTCTGCAAAGCCTCTGAGATTTTGCAATGCCTGGTCAGAAGTTATTCAAGGGGTGTAAATGGAACCACAGTGAGTGTACCCCTGGGATCAGGAAACACATTGGGGTGTGAAGAAAGCAGTACAAGAGTTAATGCAATACAGAAAGCAGCCAGTGGTTACCAGGGTTAATGGGAGTTTACAGTCAGTACAAGCAGCCTGTTGTTGAGTTTGTGCCTGTGACAGGCAGGATGTCCTCTTGCAGCGAGGGAGTTGTTGATGGAGTGATTTCCCCTGGCGGTCTGTCTTCCATAGCAACTGAAGTGGATCAGCTCTGCAGAGGTCCCCCTAGCCTAATGAAAAGGTATGGAAGAGGGAGATTTAACATTTGTACATGGAGTCTGCGCTAGGTGGCTGCAGGATTCTATTCTATTACTGGGAGTCAGGTAGCAGAGATACGCTGGACAGGTGGAGCGGGCATTGGCTTAGTTTTCTGTTTAAGTGTACACAGTACATGGCCATCTCTGAGTTGGGGGTCTGCTTTAAGGTTGATTTATTCATGAAAGTGATCCCCTGCCTTGTCTCTGGGTATTGAAGAGCACGGCAAAGTAAAGGTACCCCATGTGCAAGGCGAGGGTCCCTGTCCAAGGTGCCCAGCGTAGCCCAGAATAACCCACTCCAAGATAAGCCTTTTATGTGACCCCCACTTGATGCCCAATGAGGAGGGGAACATGGAGGAAACACCACCCACTTGCCCCCTTACACCCCTTTCCCCAAATGCTGAATTATTGATCTTGGCAGGATGCTGGCAGTGGGCATCTATTCTTCTCAGGCCCCTAAAAACTCCTGTTTTTACACTCTGTGGGCAAAAGTACCCATGTGCATGAGGCCTAAAACCACTTAAAGCAGTATATTAAACCCAAAAGCAAATATTATATTGCAGCTTATCAATTCTTAGATGTGATGGCTGTATTAAGTTGTTTTAGGCTTTCTATTTTCATCTGGTAATTCAGTCAGCAAGTCTTTTTTTTCAAAAGCACAAGATCCAGCAAAATGTATCGGTTTACATGGATAAGACAATCCATTTACCACTGGCAGGGGAGATTAAAATGATCAGCTTTTATTCATGTGAAACCTTTATCCTAAAAGGAAAAAAAACGGTTTGCTGTCACTGATCATAAAGTGTGAGCTGTCTTGTATTCACGTACAAAACCTCCATCTGCTCCAGATACCAAGAATCCGGGTTCAAACTGTTGACCCGCTGGTTTTTCACTCCTGCCAGGATTCAAAGGATGTTCCCCCAATGTCCCAACACGTTATGAAGAAGAGACTGGGTCTCTTCACATTTTCTGGTCCTGCCGCTCCTAACATGCCTACTGGACAGAAGTGCACTGCATAACTCAGAAATTCACAGAACATGTGCTGCCGTGGGACCCTGCGTTTTTCCTGCTGCATCACCACCATTTTCCCAGTAAGCCCAACAGGCGCTCCATCCTAACATTACTGCTCGCTGCATCTCACTTTTCTGGAAACAGATACAAGCACCATCTATTTCCATCTGGTTGCGAAAGGCTACTGAAATCAATGCGATGGAAGATCTGATCTCCACGAAGAAGGGCCTTCGTGAATGTCTCAAAATATACTATTACTGGTACAAAATTCTCTCCTCCGAGGAGTATGCAACCCTGCTGAGGAATCTGGAAGGTGTCCTGCTGGCTCTGTGGAGCTGGGGGAAATGGACCCCTTTCCCTTGCTCCCTATCCCCTTATACCCACTACCTTCCCTTTTTTTGACTCAACCCCCCCCACGTTCAGCAGCTTTCTTTTTCTTTTTTTTTTTTCCCCCCCTACGTGTCCATGTACACTGTTGTTTACAGTCGTTTTTTTTTAACGCACCAAACTTGTGTTCAGGAGTAGATTTTATCAACGTTTCAAACACCAAGTGCTTGTAAACGCGGCTAACCGCGTTTAAAAGCGTTTGCGTTTAGAAGTGTTTTTTAACTGTTCCATATCTAAATGCTGTCCAGAGCCTTTTTCCATCATCAGAAATGCATGCAAAGCATTTTCCATGTATTCAAATGGACCTAGCACACCAGCGCAGTCAGTTCCAGGTTTTGCGTGAAGGAAAAAATGGTAGAATGTGCTGCATTATGCTCATGATGGGATCCATAGTGAATACAACCAGAAAAGATAGGTAATCTCAACACATACTGCTTCTGCTCTCTATTTCTCTCAAAATGTCTGAAATAGTTAATGTCCCGCAGGTGTCAGCAGCGGGTCTCAGCCGGTCATTACCGGCCGTTTCCCCGAGATTAGCGGTAATCGCTGACAGAGAGCAGGGCTGCATTGTTTACACACAGCCCTGCTCTCTGTCAGTTGCCTGTCAGCTCCTGACAAGCTGAAGAGGGAGAGAAGAGTTTATCTCTCCCGATCAGCCTGCCCCCGTCCAGCACACGCCCCCGCCCCCTAGTAAAACACTCCCCTCACACAGTTAACCCTTTCAGTGAAAAAAAATGTTAACCCCTTCCTCCCCAGTGCCATTAGTACAGTGTCAGTGTTTTTTTTTTTTTCACTGATCACTGTATTGGTGTTACTGGGGATGTCAGTGACCCCCAAGTCAGTTCCCCCCAGTGTCAAATGTCCGCCGCAGTCCTGCCATAAGTCGCTGGTTGCCGCCATATGTCACTGATCACCGCCATTATTAGTATAAAAAAAATTAAAAATCCCAGTATCTTTCCTGCCATTTGTAAACGCTATAACTTTCATGTAAACCAATTAATCAAGAAGAGTTAATGATGTGTGGCATAAACTTCTAATGCTGGGCATAAAACGCCCCCACCCCCCAAAATGACCCCTTTTTGGAAAGTACCGTATTTTTCGCTACATAAGACGCACTTTTTTCCCCCCAAAAAAGTGGGGAAAATGTCAGTGCGTCTTATGGAGCGAATATGGAGCGGCCAGTCCGGTATTTCCACCGCGGCCGTGTCAGAATACCGGGCCGGCCTCTCAGCTCTGCAGCGGGACATTATGGAGATGACTGCTGACCTTTGGGGAGGTGGGGAGCGGGTACCTGAATTTGACAGGTACCCGCTCTTCTTTGTTCTTTGATCTTACCTGTTCCTCTATCCAGCGGCGCGCTGTCTTCCGGCTTCTGTAGTGTGGGCACTGGGCATGACAGCCGGGTGCCAAGTGCGCATGTGCAAGAAGCCGTGCTTTTTGTGAATGGTAAGGCGGTACCTGGGACACATGACAGATCCCAGAAGCCGCCGGACTAATCACAAAGCGCAAGTGCTTCTCGCTCATGCGCACTGGGCACCCGGCTGTCATGCCGAGCGCCATTACAGAAGCCGGGAAGACAGCGCGCGGCTGGATCGAGGAACAGGTAAGATCAAACAAAAACTCTGCGGAAGTAAGAGCGGGTACCTGTCAAATTCAGGTACCCGCTCCCCACCTCCCCAAAGGTCAGCAGTCATCTGTACTGTCCGCAGTCTCTGGTCATCCCTGTGCTGTCCGCAGTCTCTGGTCATCCCTGTGTGCTGTCCGCAGTCTCTGGTCATCCCTGTGCTGTCCGCAGTCTCAGTCTCAATGGTCATCCCTGTGCTGTCTGCTGTCCATTAGTTCAGAAATTTTTTTTTTCCTGTTTTCTGCCTCTAAAACCTAGGTGCATCTTATGGGGCGAAAAATACGGTAGTCACCCCAAACTATTTGCTGAGAGGAATGTTGAATCAATAGAAGAATTTTATTTTTTTACCACAAGTTTTTTGAAAATGACAAAAATAAATATATGTATTTTTTTTTTACACAAAATTGTCACTTAGATGATTTACTGCTCACACATGCCATGGGTATATGTGGAATTAATCCCCAAAATACATTTTGCTAATTCTCCCAAGTATGGGGGTACCACATGTGAGAGACTTTTTGGCAGTCTAGCCAAGTACAGGACCCCAAAATCCAATAAGCACCTTCAGGCTTTTAAAGTGCTTTATTTCCTCATTACACTTCCAGTCTACCTATCACAGTTTCGGAGGCCATGAAATGCCAGGATAGCACCTAACCCCCCCCCAAATTACCCCTTTTTGGAAAGTAGACACCCCAAGGAATTTGATAAAAAGCACGGTAAGTATTTTGCAGATCTCATTTGTTGCCACAAGTTTTTGGAAAATGAAGAAAAAAAAACAAACATATTTTTTCTATTTTTTTATATTTCAAAACCTTGTGAGAAAAAATGAGATCTGCAAAATACTCACCATGCCTCTTTTTTAATTCCTTGGGGTGTCTACTTTACAGAAAGGGGTCATTGGGGGGGGGGGGGGGGTTGGGGTTATCCTGGCATGTCAGGGCCTTCGAAACTGTGATAGGTAGTGAGGAAGTGTACTGAGGAAGTTATGCACCTTCAGGCTTTCAAAGTGGTCGTTGGATTTCAGGCTCCTGTATGTGGCTAGGCTCCCAAAATGTGGTATCCCCATACTCAGTAGAAGTAACAGAATGTATTTTGGGGTGTAATTCCACATATACCCATGGCTTTTGCGAGAAATAAACCATTTAAATGTGTAAAAAAAAAACAAACCGTTTTTGTCATTTTCCAGAAACTTGTGGAAAAAAAATAAATCTTTCATGGACTCAATATGCCTCTCAGCAGATAGCTTAGGGCAGGGGTCTGCAACTTTTAAGACATAAAGAGCCACTTGGACCCGTTTCCGAAGGGAAAAAAAAGACTGGGAGCCGCAAAACCATTGCAACATTTAAAACAAATCCGACACTGCATATATTGTTTCTTACCTTAATGCTATATACAGGATCGTGCAGTTAGCTTCATCCCCCATATAGTAATTCATCCCCCATAGTAATTCATCCCCCCCTATAGTAATTCATCCCCCCTATAGTACTTCATCCCCCATAGTAATTCATCCCCCCTATAGTAATTCATCCTCCATAGTAATTCATCCCCCATAGTAATTCATCCCCCATATAGTAATTCATCCTCCATATAGTAATTCATCCTCCATAGTAATTCATCCCCCATATAGTAATTCATCCCCCATAGTAATTCATCCCCCATAGTAATTCATCCCCCATAGTAATTCATCCCCCATATAGTAATTCATCCTCCATAGTAATTCATCCCCCATAGTAATTAATCCTCCATATAATAATTCATCCCCCATAGTAATTCATCCCCCCTATAGTAATTAATTCCCCATATTGTCTCAATTCACTTACCTTTGCTCCGCGCGTTCCTCTCGCTGTGTTCCCGCGCTGTGTTCCGGTCTTCAGGGTGGACTGTGAGAGGAGTTCGTCACGCTGCCCCGCCTACATCCTGGCTGCCCCGCCTACATCCTGACAGCTAATGTTCCACGCTCCGCGGGCCGGATTAAAAGAGTCCTGACTTTTGAGGCGGCCGCCCGAGAGGAGGGAGGGGAGCGGGCGCCCGGCACACAGAAGAGCCGCATGTGGCTTGCGATCCGCGGCTTGCCGACCACTGAAACCCTATTGCCTGTCACCTGGTGGGCAGTGTGCTCCGGAGCCGCAGCAAAGATGAAAAAGAGCGCGCGGGTTGCCGACACCCGGCTTAGGGTGTCTAATTTCCGAAAAGGGGGTCATTTGAGGGTGTTTGTACTATCCTGGTATTTTAGCACCTTAAGAAATGTGATGGGCAGTCAGAAAGTAAAAGCTGTGTAAATTCCATTATCTATACCATAGTTTGTAGATGCTATACCTCACAAAAAGCAATCAATATACACTTATTGGGATTTTTTAACCAAAACATGTAGCAGAATACATTTTGGCCCAAATTTATGACGAAATTTTAGTTTTTTTAGATATTTTTTTATGACCAAAATGAGAAAATATGTTTTTTTTTTTTTTCAAAAACATTTTTTTCTTCAAAACTTTTTCTGGCTATAGCGCCAAAAATAAAAAGTGCACAGATGATCAAATACCACCAAAAGAATGCTCTATTTGTGTTAAAAAAAAAAAAAAAAAAAAAGACATAAATTTCATTTATATACCGTATTGCATGACCGCGCAATTGTCCGTTAAACTAGCGTAGCGCTGTATAGCAAAAAAAGTCGTAAATTGCAGTATCTATACCATAGTTTGTAGACGCTATAACTTTCACACAAAGCAATCAATATACACTTATTGGGAATTTTTTTACCAAAAACATGTAGCAGAATACATTTTGGCCTAAATTTATAACTAACTTTGAGTTTACTATATATTTTTTATAGCTGAAAGTAAAAAATATTGTTTTTCTTCAAAATATTTGGACTTTTTTTGTTTATAGCGTGAAAAATAAAAAGCGCACAGGTGATCAAATACCACCAAAAGAAAGCTCTATTTGTGTGAAAAAAAGGACATAAATTTCGTTTAGGTGCAGCATTGCATGACCGCACAATTATCAGTTGAATTAGTGCAGCGCCGAGTAGCAAAAAGAGGCCTGGTCATTAAGGGGGGTAAATCCTCTGGAGCTCAAGTGGTTAAATGCACCAAAAGAAAGCTCTATTTGTGTGAAAGAAAAAACAATTCATATGGGTACAATGTTGCATGACCACTCAGTTGTCATTCATAGTGCAACAATGCTAAAAACTGCCCTGGGCAGGAAGGGGGTAAAAGTGCCTGGTAGGCAAGTGGTTAATACCATTTTAACCAGTTCCTCATTGGGCCAATTCTGACACTTATTTATGTAGAAATAAATGTTTTTTTGCTAGAAAATTACTTGGAACCCTCGACATTATATATCTTTTGTAGCAGAGGCCCTAAAAAATAAAATAGCGGTCTCTGCAATTTTTTTTATGGCATACGGTATTTCTGCAGCGATTTCCTCCCCCTTCCCAAGCATGATTTTTTTGGAAAAAATACATGTATTTAATTATTAAAAAAACACAAGATATAACAAAATGTTTTTGTAAAATATGAAAGATATTACGCAGAGTAAATAGATACCCATCATGTCATACTTTAAAATTGTGCACGCTCGTCGAATGGTGCCAAACTGAGGTACTTAAAAATTTACACAGGTTACCAGTTTAAAGTTACAGATGAGATATAGTGTTAGAATTACCTGACCGTGTGGTTTGAACACAGCATATGTGGGTGTGACCTATGGATGCGTTCGCTGCACGCAAGCATGGGGGGGACGAGGGCATTATAAATTATTTTTGTTTTTTATTCTTTGTTGTGTTTTTTTACTGTCCCTGTAAATATAAAATACATTTTTATAACTTTTATTGCCATCACAAGGAATGTAAACCTCCCTTGTGATAGAAGTAAGCAGTGACAGGTCCTCTTTATTGAGAGAGCTTCAATAAAACCCACATCTCTCCTCTACAATGTAAAGAATTAGATAAAAAACAAAGCATTGATCTAATGCTTTAAAAAAAAAAAAAAAAAAAAAAAAAACATTGGGCCAGAATCGGAAGTGGCGCATTGACGTCGCTCCGGCCCTCCTGGGCCATAGCGATGAGAGGAGGCTATCTCTCTTTCATCTCTATGCCCAGCCATCGCGATCGTCAGATTGGTTCTCTGGCTTACCGATCACTGGAAAGCGGCGGTTCTAAAAGTGATCCAGCGGCGAATCCGCTGCTAGGATCACTTTTAGTAGAAAAAGGAATTTCCTGCTGAAAAAAATACCGGGGTTATGGTACATTGCTTCAGCCATAACTTCGGTATTCCACTTCCAACTGAGGAAGTATTTTTGCTATGGCTCTGTTTGGAAGTGAGGTCAGTGATAGACTTTAATATCATAAAGCACCTAATGTGAAATGTTTTTGTATAGCTGACCACAACCATTTTTCACTGAAGATGCAGTAGTTTATTTCTGTAAATATTCGATCCCTGCACTATGACATTTAAATATTTATAGCTTTTAGGTTAGGATGGCGAAAAAGGGCTTAATACCGCATGAAAAATCTGACAGGCTGGTTGTACCAAATTTGTACAACAATCGAATTGGGTACAGTCAGCCTGCCTATAGAAGCCGTTCCCTGCTGAACTGGTCAAGATTCAAACCGTCTGGGATGAATTAGAGTGGAGACTGTGAGCCAGGCTTTCTCGTCCGACATTAGTGCCTTACCTCACAAATGTGCTTCTGGAAGAATGGTCAATCATTCCCATTGACACACTCCTAAACCTTGTGGACAGCCCTTCTTCTTCCTTCTTCTTCTTCTCACCAACGGTTTGCTCAGCGCTTTACAATATAACGGGAGACAATACAGCTACAATACAGTTCAATACAAGAGGGATAGGAGGGCCCTGCTCCTTGGAGCTTACAATCTTAGAAGAGATGAAGCTGTTATAGCTGCAAAGGGTGGGCCAACTCAATATTGAACCCTATGGACTAAGACTGGGATGCAATTAAAGTTCATGTATGTGTAAATGCAGATGTCCCAATACTTTTTGGCAATATAGTGTAGATTAGAACACCTATTAGGTTTTTATTGTTGTCTGTCCCCATGTTAGGGAGATTCACCCTTTCTATTTGTCCTGTTTACCATTAACATCAAGAGTGAAAGTAAAAAAAACAAAAAAAAAATCTAATTTTGGGTTGTCCCCAGAAAAGTAATAGAGGGAAAATTTTCCAATGGGGACACTAGTTCTGGTGACATGGGGTTCCCGAAGAATTCTTTTAACAGTCTCCCGCCTGCCATATAAGGAAATGATGAACGGACGGCGGTTCTTTCGGTCTGCGAGGACATCTTATGACGTGCTCCCACTCTAACCGCGTGTCCCCGGAACACAGCTGATCACCGATCAGCAGAAAGAGCCAATGACGTCGGCTCTGTCATGTGATCCGCTGTCTCCAATCACAGCTAATCGCATGTAAATAAGGAAATACCCGTTATCGGCATTCCTTTCCTCACAAGCTGTCACGCTGACAGTTCGTGAGGAGAGAAGAGCCGGTAATCGGCTTTCCTCAGAGGGGACATGTACAATGATCACCAGGGCACTGATGATCAGTGTATCCCCATCAGTGCCACCTGCCAGTGCCCATGAGTGCAACATCAATGGCACATATCCGTGCTTAGCAGTGCAAATCAATGCCACATAGTACCCATCTGAGCTGCCTTTCAGTGCCAGTCAGTGCTGCCTATCAGTGCCATATATGAGTGCTGCCTTTCAGTGATTCCCGTTAGTGCTGCATATCAGTGCCCATCACTGCAGCCTCATTAGCGCACATCAGTGAAGGAGAAAAATCACTTATTTACAAAAAGAGAAACTAAGAAAAAATTATTTTTTTCAACATTTCAGTTTTTGGTTTGTTTTAGCAAAAAAATAAAAAAAACCTAGAGGTGATTAAATACCACTAAAAGAAAGTTCTATCTGTCTCAAACAAATGATAAAAAATTCATATGAGCACAATGTTGCATGGCCTTGCAATTGTCATTCAAAGTACAACCGTGCTCAAAGCTGAAAATTGGCCTGGGCAAGAAGGGGGTAAAAGTTCCCGGTAGACAAGTGGTTAATTTGCAGGGATTTTCTCTCACTTCCTGTTTTGCCTATGGAACAGACAGTGAAGGGAAATAACCCCAATGAGACACAGGAATAAACAGACGGGTTATGACCCTCCCTTACTCTCTTCAAATTTTTTTTTTTTTAAAGTTTTGCATATAGTTTTACTTGAAGCATTAAAAATGAAATGAATGTTTGCAAATTTCCATGCTCAGCTGCTCCAGTCTTGGTAAATCCTCTTCGAATGTCCATATAAAAGAACACCTGGGTAGCAGTGACCATAACATGATTTCATTTATTGTTAGCTGTAAACAGCGAGCACATACGGGGAAAAAAATGCTCAATTTTAAGAGAGCTCATTTTCCAAGGCTGAGAGCTGCTCTCCAAGACTTAGACTGGGAGGGAATATTGGCATCAATGAACACAACACAGAAATGGGAGTTCTTCAGAAAGACTGTATGTGAACACTGCAAAATCTATACCCATGGGCAACAAGTTTAAAAGTCTAAAAATCAAACCTATGTGGCGTACAGCTAAAACAGTTAAAAATTGTTATAGATAAGAAAAGCGCTTTTATTAAATATAATAATGAAGGAATGCTATCATCTTTTAAACATTACAAAGAATATAACAGAATATGCAAAAAGGAAATAAAGGCAGGAAAAATTGAAACCGAACGACAGATTGCTAAAGATGGCAGAACCAACCCCAAGAAATTCTTCAAATATATTAATAATAAAAAGGTTCGGTTCAAGCATGTAGGCCCTTTACAAAATGATCTAGAGTGGGTGACTGAGGACAAAGAGTAGGCAAATTTATTAAATACCTTCTTCAGCTCTGTGTATACAAAGGAGCATGGGGGAGTTCTTGTCCATAATGGGCATGGTATTGACACAGCTCCAGATGATCCACATTGGCTCACAATTGATATGATCCAAAAATATTTAGACAGTATAAAGGTGAATAAAGCACCTGGACAGGATGGTATACACCCACTGGTCCTTAAAGAATTGAGCCCTGTCATTTCAAAGCCATTGTTTCTAATTTTTAGGGACTCTTTAATGACTGGCATAGTACCACTGGATTGGCGTAAGGCCAATGTTGTGCCAATATTTAAAAATAGGTCAGAATCTTTACCAAGTAATTATAAACCCGTTAGTTTAACTTTTATAGTTGGGAAGATACTGGAGAGTTTATTAAAAGACCATACAGTTGAGTTCTTGCTGGAAAAATATATTTTAAGCAACAGACAGCATGGATTCATGAAAGACATAAGTTGTCACACAAATCTGAATTCTTTTTATGAGGTGAGCAAAATCTTGGACAGAGAGGTGACGGTGGACGTGGTATACTTGGATTTTGTTAAAGCGTTTGACACAGTTCACCACACATGGCTAATCTGTCAGGTAAAGTCTATGGGCTTGGAAAAATCAGTATGTAAATGGATAGAAAACTGGCTAAAAGATCATATTAAAAGAGTAGTGGTTACTGATTCATATGAATGGTTTAGTGTTGTCAGTGGTGTACCCCAAGGTTCAGTGCTGGGACCCTTACTTTTTAATATATCGTCTTTTTCGCTCCATAAGACGCACTTTTTTCCCCCAAAAAAAGGGGGGAAAATGTGTCAGGGATCCCGGTCCTCGCCGCGGTGCGCGAATCACCCAGGCGCATCAGCGGTCGGGCAGTAGGACTTGGGCGTCCACGGTGGCAATTGCGGCCACGTATGCGCACTCGCGCACACGGGCGCGCGCTTGGCACCAATGACGGTGCAGGGCGCGCTATTTAAACTGGCCAGGCAATGTCCTCATTGCTGCAAGGTCTTGTTCCTGTGTTCCTGTTAGTACGTTTCCTTGTTGACAAACTCTGCCTGTTCTGATTTATGCTGACCCTCTCCTGCTCTGACCCCGGCTTGTCCCTGACCTTTCCTCTGCCTATAGTTACTATTGTTTTGGACCCTCTGTTACTGAACCCGGCGTGTGACCTGACTACTCTTTGCCTGTTGCTTGGTACCGCACCTGTCCCCACTGTTACCGACCTGGCTAGTCTGACCTCGCTCACTCCGAGCAGTCATCCATCCATACCACTCGGATCGGGACCGGTCAGCCCCTTCACAGCAGGCTCATCCCAGGCACATACCCTCAGCGGGACCCCTCTACCATCGCCGGGGGTGCCCAGGGGCACGACCTGGTTCCAGTCTTGCACCAAGTCCATCCCCACCATCAGGGGCTCTGGTGAAAAGGCAGACTGGGACTTAGACTCCGCGTCTTGGAAAATCCCGTGCTGTGGACCACTAGAAATCCCGTTGGGCGGAGCCTGACAAAATGTCAGTGTGTCTTATGGAGCAAATGTAAAGCGGCCGGTCCTGTATTTCTGCCGCCACCATGTCAGAATACCGGGCCGGCCGCTCAGCTCTTCTCTCCTGCAGGACCTTACCTGTTCCTCGCTCCAGCGCTGCAGTCTTTCCCACGGCGGCTTCTGTAACAGCCGGGTGCCCACTGCGCATGCGCGAGAAGCGCTGCGCTTTGTGAATGGTCCGGCATCTTCTGGGACACATGACAGGTCCCAGAAGGCTCCGGGCCATTCACAAAGCGCAGCGCTTCTCGCGCATGCGCAGTGGGAACCCAGCTGTCACAGAAGCCACCGCTGGAAGAAGGAAGGGCAACTCCGTGAAATTCAGGTACCCGTTACCCCTCCCTCCCCAAAGGTCCGCAGTCTCTGGTAATCTCCTTTACTGTCTGCAGTCTCTGGTCATCCCCTGCACTGTCTGCAGTCTCTGGTCATCTGTACTATGTCCACAGTCTCCTGTACTGTGTCCGCAGTCTCTGGTCATCCCCTGTACTGTGTCCGCAGTCTCTGGTCCATCGCCTGTACTGTGTCCGCAGTCTCTGGTCCATCGCCTGTACTGTGTCCGCAGTCTCTGGTCCATCGCCTGTACTGTGTCCGCAGTCTCTGGTCCATCGCCTGTACTGTGTCCGCAGTCTCTGGTCCATCGCCTGTACTGTGTCCGCAGTCTCTGTTCCATCGCCTGTACTGTGTCCGCAGTCTCTGGTCCATCGCCTGTACTGTGTCCGCAGTCTCTGGTCCATCGCCTGTACTGTGTCCGCAGTCTCTGGTCCATCGCCTGTACTGTGTCCGCAGTCTCTGGTCCATCGCCTGTACTGTGTCCGCGCAGTCTCTGGTCCATCGCCTGTACTGTGTCCGCAGTCTATTGGTTCAGAATATTTTTTTTCTTGTTTTTCTCCTCAAACCTAGGCGCGTCTTATGGAGTGAAAAATACGGTATTTATAAACAGTATAGGGTCTGAGATTAAATTCCCATTTCAGTCTTTGCAGATGACACCAAGCTATGCAGTGGAATAACGTCCTTACAGGATGTCTCCAACTTACAAACCAACCTCAGTGCTTTGTTTAATTGGGCAGCTATGTGACAAATAAGGTTTAATGTTGATAAATGTAAAGTTATGCACTTGGGGGGGTAGGAATATTCATGCATCATACATACTAAGTAGAGTACAACTGGGGGAATCAATGATGAAGGATCTGGGAGTTCTGGTAGATCAAAAGCTTAATAATGGCATGCAATGCTAAGCTGCGGTTTCTAAAGTGAGCAAAATCCTCTCTTCGATTAAGAGTTATAGACTCCAGAGAGAAATATCATATTACCCCTGGTATAAATCATTAGTAAGACCTCACCTAGAATATTCAGTTCAATTTTGGGCACCAATTCACAAAAAGAACATTGGGGAACTGGAGAAAGTACAGAGAAGGGCAACCAAACTGATAAGAGGCATGGAGGAGATCAGCTATGAGGAAAGATTAGAGGAACTGAACTTATTCTCTCTTGAGAAGAGGAGATTAAGGGGGATATGGTCAACATGTATAAATACATCACTGGTTCATATAGTGAACTCGGTGTAGAGTTATTCACCCTGAGGTCATCACAGAGGACAAGGGGCACTCTTTACATTTGGAGGAAAAGAAATGTAATCTCCAAACACGGGAAGGTTTCTTCACAGTGAGAGCTATGTGGAATAGACTCCCTCAAGAGTTGATTCTGGCCAGCTCAGTGGATTGCTTTAAAAAAGGCCTGGATTCTGCCTAGATACACAGAATATAACTGAATAATATTTATAGGTAAAGTTGATCCAGGGAATATCCGATTTGCCTCTGTGGGGATCAAGAAGGAATTTGTTTCCCTGTAGGAGCAAATTGGATCATGCTTTACTGGGGGTTTTTTTTTTGCCTTCCTCTGGATCAACTGTGGGTATAGGATTATAACTTTTTTTTTTTTTTTTTTTTTTTATATTGGTTGAACTGGATGGACTTTTATCTTTTTTCAGCCAGACTAACTATGTTGTTTTCTTGTAAGTTTTCTTATTAAAAATTGTCAAGGGTGCTAGACTAGATTAATGCAATTAACATAACACTTCAATGACAATGTTGTATGTGAGGGGTAAAATTTTTTTCATGAAAGTTTCCTCTAGGAATTTTTCCGAATACCATAAATGGGGGAAAATAAATAGATTTACATTTAGAAGAAAGTTTATGTATGGAAGTAGAAATAACAGTATATAGGTTTTTTGAAAAAAAAAAACACAAACTGATTTTTGAAATTATCTTTAGATGTGTGCAACAAAATTGAGTTTTTCCCCATTCCTAAGACAACTGTTTCTAACTTTTTTTACTTTGCCTCCTGTCAAATTTCAGCTCGCTCTTAAATGGTGTGTGTGCACAAACATGCTGTGTGGTCTTTCAGCTGCCATTATTAGAGTTAATTTTGGAGTTCGTTTAGTGATACACTTCGAAGAACAGTGAGGTGCAATTACAACAGTACTGCTTAAATACAGTGCATATAAAAAGTCTACACACCCCTGTTAAAATGTCATGTTTCTGTGATGTAAAAAAAAATTAGACAAAGATCAATAATTTTAGAACTTTTTCCACCTTTTAATGTGACCTATAAACTGTTCAACTCAACTCCTATTTAACATAATTTTGAATGTGATTGCTTAATTCTGAACACAGCTACATCCCCAGTTGTAAGAGGGTGTGTACACTTATGCAACCACATTATTTTAGTTTTTTGTGTCATCTTCAGGCCTTAAATGATTTTTAAACGCTTGCAAAAAACATCTCTGGCAGCAAAAGGAAGCCCGACACTCCCCTTTCCTGACGAGCACCCAATCGATGCTCATTACACTGCAATGTCTCCCCCCCTGCTAGTCCTCGGGTGCAGTTCTGGAGACAGGGAGCGAGGGGAGGAGATAAACAGCGCAATGTTAAAAATATTAAACATGTAACCACCTCCTGCCCGCCATATTGTAATATGACAGACGCAAGGTGGTTCTCTTGTTCTGGGAGGACCCATTCTAACCGTACATGCGCGGGTCCTGGAGCGCGCAGCGCGGCGATTGGCAGTGCGCTGTGTCCCTCGGACACAGCGGATTACCGACCCACAGAAACAGGCGAAGATGTCAGCTCGGTCATGTGATCAGCTGTGTCCAATCACAGCTGATCACATGTAAACAGGGAAATGTCGGTTATCGGCATTTCTCTCCTCACGAGCTGTCACGCTGACAGCTTGTGAGAAGAAGAGAGCCGGTAATCGGCATTCCTCGGAGGGGACATGTACACAGATCATCGGGGTACTGATGATCAGTGTGCCCTGTTGATCTGTGTAGCCCCATCAGTGCCAGCTGTCAGTGCTCATCCATGCTACCTGCCAGTGCCCATCAGTGCCACATATCAGTGCCCATCTAAGCTTCCTTTCACTGTCACCCATCAGTGCCACCTATCAGTGCCAGTCAGTGCCGCCTATCAGTGCCCGCCAGTGCTGCCTATCAGCACCGCCTGTCAGTGCCATATACAGTGGGGCAAAAAAAATATTTAGTCAGCCACCAATTGTGCAAGTTCTCCCACTTAAAAAGATGAGAGAGGCCTGTAATTGGCATCATAGGTAGACCTCAACTATGAGAGACAAAATGAGAAAGAATATCCAGACAATCACATTGGCTGATTTGGAAAGAATTGATTTGCAAATTATGGTGGAAAATAAGTATTTGGTCCTCTACAAACAAGCAAGATTTCTGGCTCTCACAGACCTGTACCTTCTTTGAGAGGCTCCTCTGTCCAGCACTCATTACCTGTATCAATGGCACCTGTTTGAGGTTTGTGGACAGGTGTCTTTTATACTGATAAGTTCAAACAGTCACACTCCAAACTCCACTATGGTGAAGACCAACGAGCTGTCAAAGGACACCAGAAACAAAATTGTAGACCTGCACCAGGCTGGGAAGACGGAATCTGCAATGGGCAAGCAGCTTGGTGTGAACAAATCAACTGTGGGAGCAATAATTAGAAAATGGAAGACATACAAGACCACTGATAATCTCCCTCGATCTGGGGCTCCACGCTAGATCTCACCCCGTGGGGTCAAAATGATCACAAGAACAGTGAGCAAAAATCTCAGGACCACACGGGGGGACCTAGTGAATGACCTGCAGAGAGCTGGGACCAACGTAACAAAGGCTACCATCAGTAACACACTACGCCGCCAGGGACTCAGATCCTGCAGTGCCAGACGTTTCCCCCTGCTTAAGCCAGTACATGTCCGGGCCCATCTGAAGTTTGCTAGAGAGCATTTGGATGATCCAGAAGAGGATTGGGAGAATGTCATATGGTCAGATGAAACCAAAATAGAACTGTTTGGTAGAAACACAACTCGTCGTGTTTGGAGGAGAGAGAATGCTGAGTTGCATCCAAAGAATACCATACCTACTGTGAAGCATGGGGGTGGCAGCATCATGCTTTGGGGCTGTTTCTCCGCAAAGGGACCAGGACGACTGATCCATGTACAGGACAGAATGAATGGGGCCATGTATCGTGAGATTTTGAGTGCAAACCTCCTTCCATCAGCAAGGGCATTGAAGATGAAACGTGGCTGGGTCTTCCAACATGACAATGATCCCAAACATACCGCCCAGACAACGAAGGAGTAGCTTCGTAAGAAGCATTTCAAGGTCCTGGAGTGGCCTAGCCAGTCTCCAGATCTCAACCTCATAGAAAACCTTTGGAGGGAGTTGAAAGTCTGTGTTGCCCAGCGACAGCCCCAAAACATCACTGCTCTAGAGGAGATCTGCATGGAGGAATGGGCCAACATACCAGCAACAGTGTGTGCCAACCTTGTGAAGACTTACAGGAAACGTTTGACCTCTGTCATTGCCAACAAAGGATATATAACAAAGTGTTGAGATGAACTTTTGATATTGACCAAATACTTATTTTCCACCATAATTTGCAAATAAATTCTTTCCAAATCAGCCAATGTGATTGTCTGGATTTTTTTTTTCTCATTTTGTCTCTCATAGTTGAGGTCTACCTATGATGCCAATTACAGGCCTCTATCATCTTTATAAGTGGGAGAACTTGCACAATTGGTGGCTGACTAAATATTTTTTTGCCCCACTATATGAGTGCCACCTATCAGTGCCCATCACTGCAGCCTCATTAGCGCACATCAGTGAAGTAGAAAAATCACTTATTTACAAAATTTTATAACAAAAACTAAGAAAAAACTTTGTTTTTCAAACTTTTCAGTGGTTTTTGGTTTAAGAAAAAATGAAAAACCCAGAGGTAATTAAATACCACCAAAATAAAGCTCTGTCACAAAAAAATAACATTTTTATATGGGTACAGTGTTGCATGACCGCGCAATTGTCATTCAAAGTGCAACAGCGCTGAAAGATGAAAATTGGCCTGGGCAGGAAGGGGGTATAATAAGTGGTTAAGTCGCCATAAAGCCCCTTTTGTTTTTAAAAGCCCCGGACATTACTTAAAGCAGATTTAAAAAACGGTTTTGGTTAAAATGTATTTTTTTTATCAGGACACGTAGATTGGGACACCGATTTAGTCCCTGGACAAGTAGTTTTTTCCAAAAATTCCACACCCTTGGATGCTCTCGCAGTCTGACAGATTTGGAGTGTTTTTGCAAGGAAGAGTAGACAAACCTTGCCAAGTCAATATTTGCCATGCTGATAAACTGATACCCAAAAAGACTGAGTGTTGTAATAAAATCAAAAGGTGCTTGAACAAAGTATAAGTTTAAGGGTGTGCACACTTATTCAACCGTATTCTTTTAGTTTTTTATTT